TATCCACTCTGGGTCACAGACCTAGAGGCTGGATCCTGGGCATGAACCCAGGTTTTCTGCACTTGTCTCTCCATTGCAGCATAAGCGATTAACTTCCTGCGCTTAGTATGCGCCACACTAGCCATGGAGGACCTTCTGTAGGGTCCAAAGATGGGATTTCAATAGAAATGCTTTTTCAGTTTCTTCCCTTTTTGATTAAAAAGTCTTCATGATTAAGAGCTATCTAACTGATAAACAGAGTATGTTTCTACCATGACATATATGTATAAACATATAAATAAACATATATGAAATTACCTCAAATTATGTACAAGTCCTTTAGGTTTCTATGTAGGGTTTTGGTAACTGAATCAGTTTCCTCATCTAAAACAGAAATTGAAACAATACTTCCATGACCAACTCAAAGGCTTGGAAATGGGAGAGTTGCTGTCCAAGTGCAATAAGAAAATATGTGTGCAAACAAGCTATTATAATTTCATTAAAATCATAAATATTTACAAATAATTTAATCAATTATCTCATAAGTTCTGTCTACTGAAAATTAATTACTAGCTAATTAGCAACCCTGGAAAATTTTTATTTTAGAAACTTCCATACTCATTATAAAATATAAGCCTCAAGTTTTAATAAAGTTCCACAGTGAAAGTGTTACAAAATTAGGCTTTGCTACATACTGCGGCATTTTAAAGTTAATTAATTTTCTGACACCCAGCAATGTAACTAAATTACTTTATATAGTTGTTTGAACACAATGTCTATAATCTTCTGATTAATAGAATAAGCGCTGAGGTCATCAGTAGCCCACCTCCCCACACTGTCAGCCCCCATCCCTGAGAGCTCCTCCTCAGAATCTGAAGGGATTATTCTCCAGAGTTTTAGAAAGTTTTTACTATAATAGAATGAGGGAAAAAAGATAAATTTCAGGTTTCAGAGTCCAAGTTTCTGAACAAAAGTGTATTTTCTAAATCTTAAACTGAAGACAAATGCTAACAAAGCTCTGCGCAACAAAATAAATACCTGCCAGTTCACTACTGTTTACCCTGTGGTTTCTATTTAAATTTGTGCTGCTGTCATGATTTATTCCTACCTCACAGGATAATGAATCTAGATTTTATTTCTGTTCTTTGCCCAGACTTGTACAGCAGGCAAAGTGTTTGAAAATCAAAGGAAAAGAAGATATTGACTTGGATAATCTCTTCAGAGGTAAAAACAAAAACACTAACAAAAACACAGAATATGCTTTTTGTTGTGCAGAATGTCTTATTTGTTGGACTGTGTGGTCTTATCATTCCAGTAGGGAATGGCAGAAAGAGCCTGGCCCCAAGTCAGGAGACTTGTGTTCTGGTCCCAGCCCTGGGAATAGTAAGTCCCATCACTTCACTGCGTGAAACCTGAATTTTCTCATTTTTAAAGTAAAAGGACTGGACTCTATCATCTCATGATGGGACAAATCTAAACCTGCCGAAGTCAGAGTCTCGGTGGTTGAACCCTCTCTGCCCTTTGCATAGGCCACGGAGGGAAACCAGGAGTGTCTCCCTGCATTTGCAGAGTTGGGAGGCTGGGAAGGAAGCCTGGTTAGTAAGACAGGCAAGGGGATTATTGGGAAGAAAGTTTAACCACAGCTGAGGAACTTGTGGAGTCTAGGAAAAAGAATTGCATGTTTTCATTTATTATAGTTAGGTTTCTCTCCGGTGAAGGTTCAATATAGACAGAATTTTGAGGTTAGATTATATTGCAGCAATCTAAGGAATAAATTGTCCGTAGAGTGTGTTATTTTAGTTATTTGATTTGGTCAGATGAAAACATTGATAATCTCTAATTAGTATCCTATATCTTTAGCCTTGGTGGTTCTATGTATTTGTACCCATGGGAACATGACAGATCAGTCTACCTTCCAGAGGAAAGGAAAAGTAGTGAGTTTTCTGCTGACATGGCCGGAAGTGCAGCAAATGATCGCAATGTGTGGCATGCACGCCATCTCCAGCACAACTACCCGCTCGGCTTTTCTTAACGGCAGGAGGGTTTGTGCTAGCAGTCTTTGAACAAAAGGGCTGGGAGGTACATGAGCAGTGCCCATTCAGGGCTGAAGCTGATGTTGGAAGAGCTCTCGATCATCTCAGCCCCAAAGAGGGAGAACCTTTTCCTCAGAAAATGGAGGGCAGGCAAGTTACTTTGGTTTCATTGTGCAGCTTCATGTTTCCCTGTCATCAGAAGAAATCCTATGTAACATAACCGGAGCTGAAGCTTGCTTTAAATAAAATAAATAACTGGTATTTTAGAAACTGCTTCATACAAATGTTCTCATCCACTTTCCCAAACCTTCATTCTGTAAACAACATGTTTTAGAACCATATAAGAAGCCTTAAAAAAAAGCGCTGGTGTTTTAATTCATATTTTGACACTTTTGAAAATATCTGCACAGAGTAATTATGTATATGTTCCTGCTAAAACAGATACACAATTTTGTAGTTCACATAGTAAAAGTAGTAATGAGGATCATCCTTACAAAAATAGAAAATATCACTGGCAAAATTCATTTGCATAATGTGAAAGATGAAATCTCTTCCAACTTGCTCAGAATGCACTTGTTCTTTTCTGTCTCTCTTATAACAAGTTTATGCCCATACGCTTTTATTTATTTGTGCATTCACTGTGCTCTTTAATTTAAACATACCAATTTTCTCGCAGTGGAGATCTGTGGCAGCAGATAGGGCATTATGTCAGCGGTGGAGCAGCCCACCTTACGCAGAGCACACAGCGGCGTGTGGCCGGGAACACTGTGTTGGGAAGTGTTAGGCTCATTCTGTCCGTGGAAATTGGCAGGCTGTCCCCAGCACCTGCTTTCTAGTCCAGCCTTTTGTCACCCAAAGTGACTCTTCCTCGTATTGGACTAATCCCGGTTATTACAATTAATCTCATTTGCTCTGGCTCTAACCTGGATGAGAGAAAATAATGAGAATAAATATGTTATTGCTGTGATATTAAATGATTACTTGATATTTCCCTTTTATTTTTCTTTAGTCTGTCAATCTGGGTATAATCTCCAAGTCCTTGCTTTTTTTTTTTTTTTTGGTCCGAGCAGAGATTTGAATGAATGCCTTCTTCATTCATTGGGAGTCTTTGTTTAAAAAAAAAGTAGGGTGAAATTCCTTCTCCGTTTCTCCTATGAGGGGAAATAGTAGTATACACTGGATATTTAGAGACTGGGTACATACATGTATACATGCACATGCAGCTTATTTTTTCATATCTTGGGCATGTTTTCAATTTTGATGTAAACATCTTTATTTTCTAAAGCATTGTATTCTAAACATATATACTTGGCATATGTAATTTGAAAACCTTTTAAAGGCTGCCCATTATTTTCAAGTATAGTTCTTAGAGATTCACACTCTTTTCTTTCCCATTATAACATATAAAAATAAGATTGGATGACAGAAATTTTCAATTACTGTATAATGATATAAGTTTGTTAAGGAAAGCATGATTATCTTGAAAGGGTGTTTGGTAGTAAAATTGATAGGAGTAAGTTGGAGTTTGTCTCCCTAACCTAAAGGTTTACAGATAAGCTTATGGAATGTTACACCCAAGACATGACAGGTGATAATTATCCTTTGTGCCTTTTGCTAAGTAAAATAATACATGAACATAGAGCTGATGCGTTCAGTGACATCGTGAGTCCCTTTTCCAGGTTGAAGCTGGGCATCTTTGCCTTTCAGGTTTTTACCTTTGCTCAGAGAGTGGTCCACAGAGAATGGGACAAAATTTGCTCCTTGAACACAAATTGAGTGAAGCTAATTAAAGTGCATTTTCATTAATGGTAAAGGATCTGCTCATCTAAGTGCTATGTCCTTCTGCCCCATTAAAAGCTCCTCGGTAGCTCAAACAGATGTCACTATCAGGGCAACTGCATCACACCAACTAGGAGACTAATTTGGAATTGTAGAAAGTTCAGG